CCCCAAAACCCCAAAACCCCAAAACCCCAAATAAAGGTAAGAATAATGAATATTTTTGAAGCTAATATTTTTGATACCCTATTTTCACATTTATTGATCACCAGACTGGCTAGCCTCCTTCATCTCCTCGCCATTGTCTAGAAGGTTTGCAGATCTGTACTCTGCTTTATTCTCTAAATCATATCTTCCGAAGGGGTTCCACACAAACACTATCAAGAAGCTCAACAAAGGAATTGCAAAGATGATATTACAAACGATCACATCAATAGTTTCTTTAGGTTTATTCTTCCGAGTGATGTCTCCATACACAGCCATAGCAGATAGAAATAGGGAGAAAATTGGACAAATGTACTTCAGGCAGAATATGTATAGTTTTGGAGTTGTCTCTCCGAACTTCTTAATCTTTTCAATCAAGTCCTTAATAGGTAAGAAGTAAACGAACAAAATTACTTGAATAAAGGAGAAAACAACCATATTTACACTTGTTGAGTAATGGTCAACATATTCCAACCAGTAGTAACCAGCACTTGAGGAGAAGAAGACCAGGTTGAAGATGAGAATAATCAAGCAGACTTTAAAGGTCATCATTACCTTCCTACCTTTGTATTTCTTTCTTCTAGTACAGATTCCATGTAAAGTATCGCTACATACTTCGATAAACACATATTCTGTTCCAAAGCCAAGCATTGTCATCATTGTGAAGAACAGGATACTCCAGAGATTAGGCCAAGGTAAAGTATTGATCAATGCTGGGTAGATTACAAAGCTTAGCTCCATTCCTCGTACATTCATATCATCAATTGGGATTCCTGAAGTATAGGATGCATGTCCAATGAACGAGAACAGAGCAAGAGAAGCAAACAAAGAAGTTCCAAAGTTCAAGCATGGTATAAGTACTGCAGTACTCAACAAAGGCTCATCATCCTTTCTATGTGATGCTAGCTTAATAACAGTGTTTTGAGCAAGTCCTGCTGAGAAGAAGGCCTGCCCAGCTGCATCACTCCAGATCGACAGAGTCCATAGCTTGGACCAATCAGGCTTGTACAGGTAGGCCCAGCCACTAGAGAATCCTTCAAGAGTAAGCCCTTTGACGAAGAAGACAGTCAGAATGAAGTAAGGCAAAGGCACGATAACATAGGTTAAATATTTAGCTGAGTGGATGCCTCTGTATAAGCTAAAGAAAATAAAGGCCATCATAGCAATGAAAGAAAACATGATCGTTGGGTTGTACGAACGGATGTCAAACATACTGTCCGATTTATCCAAAAACTCTTTTATGAAGTAGTCACTTGAAAACTCAGAGATATTCCCATCTTCATTTAGCTTAGGAGCCCATGGGAGTGGGTCTTGGAAGGAGTTTATCAGGAATGAAAAGCACCAACTTATTAAGCACATGTAGAATAGAGCAAGAAAGAAATTTATCATAGCCACAGTAATCGACAGTCCCACCAATTTTGGGTGAATGCTGTCATAATATCTATGCAAGGCCTTCTTGTACATCTGTCCAAAAGCCACTTCCATGTAGTAAAATGGGAAGACCAGGAAGAACAAGCAGGACAAGTACGGGATGAAGAAGGCTCCTCCCCCATGTTTATAAAGCATGTATGGGAATCTCCAGATATTTCCATATCCAACTGCAAAGCCCAGTGCTGATAATAAGAACTGGATCTGGTTGTTAAATGTTCCTTTGGCCTTATCATTTTCATTCGTCTTCATGCTGACTTCAAAACTTTGAATTTGATTATACTGCTCTCTTGAGGTGTTCCTAAATTCTCCATTTGGATCCATTTTTGAACAATTTATAATCTTCAGTAATATTTTAATTTCTAGGGGTTTTGGGGTTTTGGGGTTTTGGGGTTTTGGGG